GGGGACTCTTGATGATGAGCCATGCAAATAGACTCATAGAAATGACCACTAGCCATTGTTGCAGAATTCTCTGTAGTCACCTCCATTCTTCCGAGCAAATCCAACTCACCTTTCCAGTCTTGAGTGCTTTACCATTGTTGGACACCGACTCAAAAATGCAACATTTTCTGCCTTGATTTGAAGCATTTTTGACTTTGCGAGGTAAAACCAAGACACTCTTCTCTTGGCTTCCTCCTTAACAAAGATCCGTCGTCATTCTTTATCTCCTGAGGTCTTGTGTTGGTGTACAGACTAACTGCCATTTTTTTTTAGATTATAGAACATTCCAGGTTTGCTTTTGTTATTGTTGCGATAAGGAGCTCCATTGAGCTCCTCTCTCCCTTTATTGCATCGCAATAGTGAAACACCGCTCACCTCCAAGCAGCCATAAGATCATACATACACATTTCCCACTCAAAGGGAAAACTGCATTCTACCATGAAACCCATTTAAATCACAAAGGTGAAGATATTTGTTGAAACGTACATGTAAAGCACAACCACTTGTCAGTGTGAGGGCCCCTAACATTTTCCCGACTTGAAGAAAATGTTTAGAATCTCACACTCAATCATCGTTTCCAGCCACTCTGTATATCCCTTTGTGAGAAATGCCTTTTTAGTCCTCTTTCTCCCAGACTTACAGTTTGTTTGTCTCTTGTATGCTTTGGAGGGTGTTCTGCATGTCACAACGTATGTATGTAACGTTATGAAAACTGAGAGTACAACATGTAAGCAGCACATGTTACATCTGCCCATCAATGACTCTGAATTAAGTTGTATTTTGATATTTTTTATCCATAAAAGACAGCACAGTGCTTTTATTCCGATGTAGGGATCCAATACTTCTGAACTGTTCTTAAAGCACATGCCGCAGATTTAATCTGGTTATTACACGTGTAAAAAAAAAGAAGAAGAAGATAATAGAAAGTTTTTTAAATGTTACCCCACAAGCTAATGTTTTAGATGCAGCCATAGATTGTGTTAGATGTGTAAGCTGACCTAAATACCTTTATCTGTTTGAGCTGAATGTTTTCATTCATGTGAGTGTGCTTCTTGGTGCAATATTGAACCTCTGTGCAATATTGAATATTTTGTTTTTATTTATTTATTTTGTCTTCTACCATTTCACAAATGCAACTTTGATTTGTGGATGGATGTGGAGTAACTTATCTAATACAGTAGATAACTAACACGGCACGATAACGTACAGTACTGGACACGATTAAAGGACAGTTCAAACCAAATCAGATTTGCATGCTTTTTTTGCCCCCCTCCCCCCAAAAAAACCCCCCTCCACAAACCTCAATTTGAATAATGTTGCACATAAATTATTCTCTCTCCATTGTCTCCACCTCCCCACCAAAACAAGCTAGCAGCGAGCTAACACGGCAGCAGTATTTACATCCTGTCACTCTGTCATTTGCACATCGTGAGCTTCTCATCATGTGTAGATGAAGAGCGATGCAGAGTAATACCACTGGCTGGTGTAGTTCAATAGAAAAACAAAACCAAACAAAAGAAACAGGAAAATATTGCAACATCTCATTTGTAAGCCTGTCGTGGACCACAGTCAGCAGCTTTAACCTGGACACGCCACGGTTCCAGCACAGTGAGGCAGAAACACTAACCACTGAGCCACTGTGCTGCCACCTGAAAATATTGAGTAGCTAGGTCATGATGAAGATGCTATTGTTGATTTTTGGGCACTTGGTGCACGCCAACGCAAGTGTCATCTGACTCTCTTAGATTCAGGAGAGGGAACGATGCTTTCCACAGCTTACACCGAAGCAAGGTGGAACAATAGCAACAAAAAAAACTGTCCCTTAATCTGTCTTTTGCTCTTGAAACAAGAAAAAATACAGTTCAACAGTCGGAGAGTAAATATTTGAGCTGTTGTAAAGTACTTCAGGCAAAGGAAAGCACAAGAGTTATTCATCTTAATTGTTCTTATTTTGGGGCTTGTATGTTCTTTAGGCCTGTTACAGGATTTAATGCATTTCAAGGGGATTGTTATGCTGATGAGAGTGTGAATTTTGGACATTGTGTTTAAGTCTGCTGTATGGTTGAAAGGTATCCAGATATAACATGAAATTCATCATAGAGAACTCACTGCCAAGGGCTGACTGTCATAAATTCCACACATACAACAGCACAGAAAATATTGCCACATTCCCCCGATCCGCAAAATGATTATGATGTGTTCACATTTGCAATGTTTAAGAAAAACAATCATCGACATGCCAGATTAACAAGAATACAATCCTTTTTCTCCAGACTGCCATTTTTTTAGGATAGCAGCCATACGTAGACTCGAGACAGTCGAAAACAACAGACAAACCATTGCACTAAGTGAACACTGTCATAAAGGCACAGTGGAGAATCCCTCGATTCCTTCTAGACACATCTGGATGCGGCCTTGCTAGAAAGTGAAGTGAAAGACGAGGTTTAGCAAGAGCACAATGACCAAAATCTAACAAATGACAATTTTGTAATTGTGAACATGAGGTACTCATGCAAACCCCCCCTTCACCAGGACAGTGACCTGCCCTTTATACATTTTCCCGTCTCACTCCCCTCATCTATGAGTGTGCCATGAGACCACCTCTCATTAATTATTGCCAAATATTTCCTATGCCCTGAGTTTACATATGATACCATTAATTCTCTGTTATACATATGAAGATATGTAAATAAAAATAACTAATGTAACTAATAAGATAAGCCTTTCAAACCAATGTTGCAGTCAGTCTTTGCCACCCGTCACGTGAAACAAGAACATCTGGATTTTTCGTCTTTTCACGACTCTTAACAAATCTGACTTTAAGGGTTCAGATGTTTTTGTTGGAAATCTGCAACAAATAACATCTTTAGAAGCCCAAACGGCCAGCGAGCCTGAAAATAAAATTAGCCAGATCTTCCCTTAAGAGCACACTGATGCACATTCACAGCATAAATATAAATGCCAAGCGTTAGCAGTTCAATTCTCTGTATATCGTCCTGTATCACCCATGAAATTAAGAGCAAGGATGTCAAGATAATCGTTGTATTCGTTTAGCATGGTACACTGTCAAGACGCTAACGTGTCTCGGTGACTCGGTTCACGTCAAGATTGTCTCTTGTAGATACATATCCTAGCTTATGTTACAGGGTTTTTTCTATAATTAACGTGTGGCCTGAGCAACAGTCAATTGTGAGTGCAAAACGTTATCAAAGCAATAAGTGTTTGGATATTTGTCTTTTATTCTCTCCTTTGAAGTTATTGGGAATCGGAGCACATTAGCTATACGCTGGCCTTGTCCACGGAAATGCTGGTCGTTGGCTCAATAATGACACAGAAATAAACAGCTGACATTTGTGTGTACTCTCTGAAGCTACCCTAAGTCTTGACGCCTTTGTCAATAAAATTGCATTGCCATTAATTAAATGTAAGGAAGAATTTATCACCCTTGTCACTGTACTGTGCTGTAGAAACTGTAGTTGATTGTAAGTTTAGAAACTGTGGTATCATAAATATTAAAAAAACAAAAAGCTGTAAAAAAAGCAGTGTAAATGAACAATACTGTATGTTGTCTTTGATTTTATGTATTTTGTAAATGAGAATGAAACACAAGTAAATACATCAATGTTAAATACCAGTTATAAATCATAATTAGAGTAAATATGGCGGCATCATTTCTGTTTAAAGGTGTGTGAGATTTTTGTTTCTTATATTTTCTCATTGTTGATTTTTGGGTTTACATTTTTCTGTGACCCTTTGGAATCACAATGGATAACAAAGAATCATGATGAATAAACAAATTAAAAGAATTATTTTGTTTTTTATGTTACCATTAAGTATAATGGGATATTCACTCGCCCTAGGCACTATTGTTCATTCACTCATTGCCACAAATATCTAATAGACCAATCAGATGGCAGCGACTGAAAGTATGTAGACAAGATGACCTGCTGAATTTCAGGCTGAACATCAGAATGGGGAAGAAAGGTAAGTGACACTTACTTAATACTAGAGATGGCACGATACCACTTTTTTATGTCCGATACCGATATCATAAATTTGGATATCTGCCGATACCGATATGAATCCGATA